AAATAAATAGCATATAGTTATAGCATATATATTATACAGTTGGACTGCAGCTAGGAAGCCATGGTAACCTCAGCGTCTATCGTGTTGTTCAGGGAGTCAGTGGTCTCTCTAAAGGACTATATAAGAACACCATGACCCAGGTTATCACTGATCGTCAGAAGAGACAGGAAGAGGATCCAGCGTATCGGAGGGCTCTGAAAGAGATCAGCCATAAACTGGAGCAGAGAGTAAAGGAGAGGAACATGGAGCAGCCAGCCAAACCCAAACAACATGAACAAGGTCAGGATTTGGCTTCGCAGTTTCGAGGCTGAGAAAATATATTTGTTTTATGTCTATTCCCAACAGGTTTATTATCGTTAACTAAAACTAAAGCCATTAAAAACATTTTTTGTTACTTAAACGATTATTGAATAAAACAAAATACTTCAACTTATTTTAATTCAGCTAGTTGCCAAGACAACATTTCTAATTGTTGCTTCATTTAACTTGAATTTTAACTGAAGCTAAAACTGAAATAAAAATGAATAAAAGCAAATATCTAAACATTTATTATTTAAAAACTGCAATGTTTCACCCAGTTTTTGTAAGTGCTTTGTATTTTTGTTGATATTTTGCTCCTCGCATGGATCACATGTTTCTGTGGCATGAATGAGTTTCATTTCAGTCAGGATGCTGCCTTAGAAGGCTCATGCAGACAGTAGAGCTCATTTTTGTCTTATTGCAGTGATTCAGTCCAGACCCAGATCCAGCAGTTTTCCATCTACAGTAACTCGAGTGGTGTCGGGCCCTGCTCCTAAACAGCAGCACACCCCACAACCAACTCCACGCAGCAGAACCAGCACCCTGCCCAAAACCTCCACACCGCTACAGCATCACAGGTACAGCAACATTTACTGTGGTTTTATCTTCAGATAAATTACTTCAAAATTTTAACAAAATTACAATTAAAAAAAAAAACATTTATATAGACTCTATTTATATTCTTATAATATATACATTTTTTTTTTATTATTGTTTTTATTATATTTTAATTGTTTTTTTGTTGACATAACCAAGGCTGGTAGGGCATATATATATATATATATATATATATATATTATTTTTTTTTTTTCAATCATGTCCAATCAACAGTATTAGTTTAGTGTCATTAATATACTGTTATACTATTTATAATATTTTTAATTTTATTTATTTTTATATTTTCTGTTTTCATTTTCATTTTAGTTAAAGTTTTAGCAAAGTTTTTTATACACTTTTTTTCTCAATTTTTAATTGGTTTTTGTTCTTTTAAATGTGCCTATTTCGTTTTTAGTGATTTATATTTTTGTTTTAATTTTTATAATTTTAATCATTTTAGTACTTCAACTTAAACTAAATAAAAATGTTGCCTAATGCTAGAAACTACATGAAATTAAACATTTGAAATGAAATGAAAAATGAAATGATCTTTTTTTTTATTTCAGTAAATGTTTATTTTATTTTAATCAGCATAATTGTTCATTATTTTTACTTTAAATTTGTATTTTAATTTTAAAACACTGACAATCAAGTTTCAATCAGAAATACGTCGCATTACAGACATGAAGTGTGCTCCGCAAAAGCAGTTTCCTGTTAACTTTATTTTGTTTGTTGTTTATCACTTTGGCTTAAATGATCACTGATTTTATTATGTTATCACTTTATCGGTTTTTGATATTTGGTTCAGTGCCTTTTTCTGGGTTGTATGAACAATGTGCATATTGCATCTCACCTGCAGAACTCCTCCATTCAGCTCTGATGAAGAATCATCTGAGGAAGAGGAATCGTCTGAAGAAGAAACCCCTCAAACACAGAAGAAATCTGCCCTGGTCAACAGCACCACAGTCAAAGCCCAGACTGCTAAAACACAGCAGCGCTCGACCCCTCCTGCTCTTGCTGTGCGCTCCGCTGCTCCTGTGACCAGTGCGGACAGGACGGACGTGACGGCTCTGAGCGAGAGCGACAGCGAGTGGACCGACGGCAGCGAGATGCAGGAGCTCAACCTCTCAAAGCTGCACAAACACACTGACCAGAATGGAAACGTGGAGAAGATTACTCACAGTAAGACTCGCTTCTAATGTCAGGAGGGTGTGGAGTAGTTGTATTGCATTTGGAAATCAAAATTGTACACATTTGTTGTATATTTGTATTGTGTGTGTGTGTTTTTCTGTAGGTAAAGTCAAAGCTCTTGGCAAAAGCCTTGAAAAACATCTGGAAGCACGAGGCCCAAAGAAACCAGCAGGGGGCGTTAATACATTGCTTGAAAAGCCAACAGCTGTCAAAACTATGAAGCAAGACGCAAAGAAAGAGCTAAAGGTGAGACCTGCTCCTTTATACAGATAAACAATATGCAAAGGTAAATAAATGCGACATTGAAATCTACCACATCAGAGAACAGGTGGAAAATTTCAACATTTATTAAAGTACTTTGGCATTTCATTAAATTCTTATTGAGAAGCTGCATGCTAAGGAGTGATAAATAATAATATTTATTATTAATAAAAATGACAGTAAACACTTATTCACTCAGGTAATGTAGCTCATCAGCATAAATGCAGTAAATATTGTAGATTTAGACTACTGCTCAAAAGTTTGGGGGTTTGTAATCTTTTTAAAGAAATTAATATTTTTATTCAGCAAGGATCCATTAAATTGATCAAAAGTAGCAGTAAAGACATGTATAATATTATAAATGATTTTTTTTTAAATTCAGGGTTGTTGTTTTTTTCAGAAAAAATTAAGTTTTCAAATTTAATAATAATAAGAAATTTTTCTTGAGCAGCAAGTATATTAGGATGATTTCTGAAGGATCATGTGACACTGAAGACTGGAGTAGTGGGTTATTATACTGTATATAATTATTTTAAAACTATAAATCATAAAAAAAACAAAACATTTTTGTTACCATAAGTAAAATTAATGTTAACTGAAACAAAATAAAATATAAAAACTTAAAGTTATTATATTTCAGCTAGTTGAAAAGGCAACATTTCTCATTTCTATGTAGTTTAACATGATGTACAAAAGAACTAAAACTGAAATCAAAATGAAATAAAAACGGTCAACTGATTGGATGAGCAGACTATAATTCCATAAAGATTTTTATTTTTGCATATCTTCCGAAATTAGTTCGTTTTATCTCTATAGTAGATTTGTAATGGGTCGTTGTTCTGCCCTGTTGCTTTCAGTACACAGATGAAGATGATGACGATGATGACTGGGATATCTCCTCTCTGGAGGATGTGCCCGCTGTAACCAAACCCAGCCAATGTCCCGTACCTGTCAAGAAGAGCTTGGACAAGAGTCTGGACACCAGCACGAGTGTGTGGGGCTCATCGACGGGCAAAGGACAGAAGCCAGGTACATAGAATTCATAGTTAAATAATAATATTTTGCTAATGAGAAATCATGGCCATAAAAGCAAACTCCGATTGCTTGCAAAAAAGCTGCTGTGCATTTTTCATTTAATCTGAAAAGTACATATTGTCCAAACCATTGACATACAGATTTAGATATTTTCTTTTATAGTTTAAATAATTTAATTAATACATTACTATTACTTTTTATATTTTAGTACAAAGACATTTGAAATTGTTTTGTGACCCCCTCACTTATAAGCAGTAACTCTTTAGCTCAACACCTGTTGATTACTGTGATTCTGATTTCTTTCTTTGTGTTTTTCAGGCCTCACAGACGCAGGAACCGGCAGCACTCTCAAGAGCAGTTTAGTGAGCGTCAGCGACTGGGATGATTCAGATGAGATATAATAAAATGCAGAAGAGCAATACCAAAGTTAATCAAGTTAATATACCTTATATCCAGTATCTGTTGTAGCTCAGGCTTAGTGATTATTCAGGGACAGCGGTGCAAAAACAGTTTAATATTAACAGTGTTAAAGGTACTTTATATGAAATATAAAGGTACAAGTACACCTAATACTAAGGAACAGCCAAGGGATGTTGCACTTTAAAATGATTGCCTCATATTTTTTGATAGTTTATGTAATGTGTAAAATACTGATTTATTAAATTCACTTTTTCAAACACTTCAAAGATTCTTTGTTTTGGATATACAAGCATTTACATTTAATCATTAACAGACATTTTTAACCAAAATGAGGACAATAGAAGCAATCAAACCAACAAAACAGCAACAATATGTAAGTTCTGTGACAAGCATCCTGCTATATCGCAATAGATAGAGACAACAAGCATTGAAATTGTTTCTAAATGATGTCTTTAAACGTTGGGTTACACGGTTGAGTCTATGAGGGGCCTGACAGTTCTTGGAAACTGGCTTTCTTGTGTTCCTCTCCTCCCTCTACTCTCTCTGTTCACTCTGTATGATTGGTGTGAAGGAGGGATGATGAATGTTGTGGGTCTGGACGAGCCCGGCAGCATGTACGTCTGTCTGGTTCGTGCTGTCATGTAAGTTGGGGGTCTTCTGGGTTTCTTGGTAAAGCTGAAGAAATGCAAAAAATATTGAAAACACACAGTACACTACCATTCAAAAGTTTTTTTAAAAGAAATTCATACTTTCATTCAGCAAGGATGCACTACATTGATAAATGTTTGACATTTATGATTTTATGAAAGACTTTCATTTCAAACAAATGCTATTTTTTTTTCAACTTTATATTCCTCAAAGAATACTTAAAAAAATGTCACAGTTTTCACAAAAATAGTAAGCAGCTGTTCAATATTGATAGTAATACAGTGCGATGGGCCACACCTTCATGGGAATGACATTCTTGCAGAGAAATAGCACATGACTGCACTTCCACATATAACCAGACACGAACCTCCCCAGCCGATGAAGAGAGCTGCACCGAGCTCAACCTGAGGAAAATTAAAACCTTAAGGGTAAGGTTTCTAAGATTTTTATGTCAAAATACATTGTCTTAACCCAGTTAATTATTCTTTGACTACTTAGGTATGTCATTCAGGGGCCTTATCTCCCCCTAAAAATTTAAAGTCTCCCAGGCAATATCAAAACATTTAGAGCAGTCTGCTCTGATACGTCAATCTCTTCCAGCTCAACCAAAAGCGAGGGTTCAGGGTGTGGCTACTGTAGTCGATTTTCAAGCCCAGCCCCCGGAGCGCCCAGTAATGAGGGCTCCTAAAACGCATGTGCCAATCATGAGACCCACCAGGCTGGGGTCTACATACAAGACCTTCTCCACTAATGTAGGGGATTAGGTAAATTAAGCAGACAAAATCCGTGTCTGAAGAGCATGGACGTCCAAGTTATAAAATCTGGCAAAGGTATACAGGGAAGACCAGCTGGCTGCCACACAGATATTACCAATTGAAAGTCCGTTGGACCCAGCCCAGGAGGAGGCCATTCCTCTGGTGGAGTGGGCCCTCACGTGAACTGCCCTCAGTGAGAGCAGGTTGTACTGTGCCATAGGAGTAGGCGTCTCACCATCCTGTAAAGGGAGCATGACCTGACACTGCCTTGGTGATTTATAAAGGTTACCACCGTCATGTTATCCGAGTGGACCAGGACTTGGTGCCCTCTTAAGGCTGGCAGGAAGATTTTTAGGGCTAGAAAAACCACCATCATCAGGCACTAAGCGTAGGACGGTTCACAGGCTTTGAGCCAGAATTGGAACGACCAATTTTGGGTGTTCCGGCGCGACTCAGGCCCACATCTGAGACGAAACAATAAAAGGCAGAATACATGCTGGCTGGAAGACATAAGGCTTTTGGCTAAAATGATTTGTGATCGCCGCATAGCCGCAGTAGAGAAGGCGCTGAAGAGTAGCATCTTCCCGCCTGCCGGGGCTCTTCTACAGCAAGTAGCAAGCTTCGAGCTCCTTGCTTTAGAGTCCAGTGAGGGGATGATCTTCATGCTGAAGAAAAAAAATCTGTCGAATGGTGCTCAGAGCCGACCGTTTTGGCGGGCTGAAGCGCCATATTTGTTCGTGCAGCTACACGAACATGAACAAATCAGGCTTCAGAGTAAATAGGAGTTTCTCCATAAGCGTTCTTGCCGTTCAACGCAACGGGAGAGACCATAGGGAAAACGTTATGGGAAAAGAAACTCGGCTACAGAAGTGAAAACCAAAGCTGGACTTACCAAAATGAGACAGACAACTGGGGAAAACAAGGGTAAACACTGGCAGTGCTTTTAGAAGATGGAGGAATTTTAAGAAATGTTTGAGTTTCAGTTGAGACAACAAACTCGTGGAGTTTCTTCATGACAGGTAAGCTAAACTTGCTACATGTTGTTAGCTGTTTACTGTCAAGCCCCAGATAAAAAGGTAGATATTGTATGGGGAATAATAATCGTAAGGGCGTAAGGGGCGTTGTTTGAATATTTAAAAAATGTTTTGTAATTCCTCTAGGTGACACTAGTAGCGCAGAAACGGCATACCTCACCTTTAAGCACTTTTATATATTATTATTACTGAATTCATTATTAATGTGTGACTACATTACATACTTCTATTCCAAGTAATATGGATCCACAAAGTCTGAACGCATTTTATTTCCCCACCAGGAGTACACTATCATACCACAGAAACCTGCAAAACAGATACAGCAACACATCAGTTTATGATACTCAATTTATGCTTTATGCAAAAATGCTCATGAAGAAAGGATTGTACTGGATGCCATGTACGTCAGTGCTGCTGCGAATGTAACTCTGGCGTTGGCAAGCTTGGAGCCTCTGATTTTGGTACATTTCATCCCAATGAGGGTAAGAACAGCCCCCCAGAAGCCAAAGATCACAGAGATGACAGCCAGGGCCCTGCATACATGGAGGAAAACTAACAACCAGAGAGACACATGAAAAGCATCTCATATAGAACCCCATTTCCGCCAAAGAAATCAAATAAAAAAAGTGACTTTTCTTTGTTTCCGCCACTGGATTAAAAAAACATTTAAAAGTGAATTGTGATTTTATCTCACAATTCAGAGGACTATTTTCTTGCAATTCTGACTTTTTCTAAAATATTTCAAAAATTGTAATTCTGAAGAATTGTGAGAAAAAGTCTGAATGCGAGATAAAAAGTCACAATTCTCTTTTTATTTTATTTTTTTTAATCTTGTGGCAGGAACAAACTTCCATAATCTCCTGAATGAGAAACTTCAGTATATAAATAATAAAATAAATAGTATATGCATCACCTAGGTTGCATATGTTTGATCAAAAATACAGTAAAACATTATTGTTGTGAAATATTATTCCAAATTAATATAACGTTTCTATTTATATATTTTAAAATGTTATTGAAATTCTATTTTAATATGTAATTTATTCCTTTGATGGCAAAGATGAACTTTCAGGATTTTAAACAGCTGTGCTGCTTAATATTTTTGTGGAAACCGTGATACTTTTTTCAGAATTCTTTGAATCGAAAGATCAATAGAACAGCATTTATTTGAAATAGAAATCTTTTGTAACAATATGAATTTCTTTACTGTCACAAAAAAAAATACAAATCTTACTGTCCCCATACTTTTGAACAGTAGTGTGTATATCTATAGTGACGTTTTAATTTCAAATAAAAGCATCATTTTAGATTTGGAAATATGATATTCAAAACAAAAACAAGCATAAAAAAAAACAAAAATAAAGTTTTACTAAAAATGTATTTGTCCTCACTGAACATATTTATCGAATAATGTATTATTTTTCTCCTAAGAACCATGAGCCTTTCTTTTCTTTTTTTTCACCAAATCATGACACATTGTCTCCGTTTCAACAGTGATTCATCACCAGGCAGGTCCATCATGGAGGGGAAGTATTTACAGTCAGATACTCCTGTGGTGTCTGAGACACAGTCCATCCAGAGGTTGGAATAGTAATCACCGGTGGTCAGAACCACAGAGCCGATCTCTGAGAAGGTCCAGTACTCAGTGGCCAGATTGGAGCAGATCAAAATCCAGCCACTTAAACACAACAAAAAGCAACCGATCTCCACATGCATCACCACTGTTCGCTGCCTTGTGCTGCCAGCTGCATACGACTGATGAACGGAAGAGAAGTGGAAAGACCTTTGGAAAGAGAGTTCCTGAACTGCTGTGAAGTTTCAATCCAATTGTGTGTGTCCTTGGAGGACAGCTTCCTCCTGTCTTGGTATCTGCATCCAGAGTGCATGCTTTCTTCAGCATATTGCAGCTTCAAACTGGTAAAACACCTCATAAGCAGTTTCACATTCCATGAGGTCTGTCTGATCTCTGAATCTGACAACCAGGTGTCACCAGGTCATTGACCAACTAAAAGTGCATTCAATAGGTAATGATTTAAAATGAAACAATATATGAAAAAGATGGGAAGTTATCACCTATTATATCATCTTCCAGGGCAGAAATCTTAAGTCTGATAGTTCAGAAAAGTAAAAGATTTAAGGTTTCATTCATGGCCACAGAAAAACAGTACAGAACTAAATAGTGCAGGACCTGTTTATTGTCTTTGAAAGAACATTGACTGGCTATTAGATATAATATGATCATGTGGTGAAGTATGTTCTTCTTAAATCGGATATTTATCCTCTTTGCAGGCTCATATGTCATGTAAGGTGTAAGCTATACGTGATGATTGCTGTAGAGCGACACGAACAGTGAAACCCATATTGTTTATGTATAAACAATATTCAGCAATGTTGGAAATACTTGCAAAATGGAGACAAAGCAAGTGAAACTGCATGATCCAAGTGTTATTTTAGTATTATTTATAATTTTGAAATAGAATTTTGTATTTTATTTATATTTTTCAGTTATATTTTTGTAATGAGTTGTTGTCATTTTATTAGATTTTGTTCTTTTCTTTTTTTAATTACTATTTAGGTTTAATTAATTTTTATTTCAGTTTTAGTTTTTATTTATTTACAGTTAATAATTTTTGTATTTATTTGGTCACCAAGGCAACATTTCTATTTTTCGTTTACTTATTCATCTAATAAGTATATTTTATTTTATCTCAGCTTAACTTCAATTAACAAAAATGTTTTAATAGTTTTAGTTTTAGTTAACAATAATAACCCTGTTATTCAAATTAGAAAATGGACAGCAGTTGCCAAGAATTTTGTCACTATGGCTCTAATGATAATAATAAGACTCTCTATACTCGCACAGACAAATAGAAGAAATTAAAGTTGAGTTAACGTAGTTAGACTTTTACAACATAAAAGTTTTAAATCCTTCAGGTCAGTGATTCACAACTCTGGTAGTTCCAGGGTTGAAAAGTTTTTAATTTTGTTTTGTTAAACATATAAAATAAGTTATTACTTAATTTAATTTAATTTATACTTAATATTCTGTTTGGTCTCAAAAAAGTTAGAAAGTAGAGAAAGTTAGAAAAGTTTGTTTTCTTAAAAGTATGATTTTTTTTTTACATATTAGCATATGTTTCAAAAACATTTTAAAATAACCTAAGCAACCACAAAAGTTTAGCTACAAGTTGCAGATGGAACATCGACAAAAAATAATGTTGTTATCAGGTTCAAACAAACTCACAATCCACACAAAACTGTATTGCTATGTTTAAAATGTCTTTAAGACGTCTTAAAATGTTTTATTGTCATCTTGCATTGTTTTATTACATCGGTTCCACTGAACATAAAATTAAATTGTGAAGAAAAATATATCTGACAAAGCACAAACTGTTGTTCCACATTTCAGCAGTTACGCTCAGTGTTGGGGGTAATATATTACAAGTAACGCAAGTTACGTAATCAGATTACTTTTTTCAAGAAACTAGTAAAGTAACGCATTACTTTTTAATTTACAAGAGAATATCTGAGTTACTTTTTCAAATAAGTAACGCAAGTTACTGTTTTTTTTCAATTTATTGATTGACAGCTCTCCTGTCCCCATGTTGAGAGAAATCAGAATATGTTACTGTAGTTCAAAATAAATATGAATATGCATTAATTCATCTCACTCACACAAAAAAAAAACACAGATTCAGTATTCCTCAAAATGAATAAAAATAGTAATGCATTACTTTTAAAAGTAACTTTCCCCAACACTGGTTACGCTCTTTATATCTAACATGCAATCTACTTTTCTCAAATAATGAATCTATCAATAAATAACCATTAGTAATTTAAATTTTTGCACAAATTGATCCCAGAATCTCGTTTAACAATTTTCAGTTAATTTTACAAAAATCCATGCATTTGATCTGGAGAGTTCCTTGACATTTGTAGTAACACTGTGTCCAGTTGTCCACTAGGGGTGTTTTGTTACGAGCTAATGAAAGAGCGACACTGAACGTCTTAGTTTTGTTTAACAAGTCATTTCCAGATCCATTGCGTTTTTTCATAACCAGGTCCAATAATCCAAGCTCAGTGTTTCAGAGGTAGGAGTTCTTGATGAAGTCATGTGTAGTGCCTCCAGATGGAGAGGACACTTTCTTGTTGTTTAAATGTGATCTGCTGATCCTTGAGGACTGTGAGGAGCTCACTGATCGTGATACGTCTGATTTGATAGAGCCTCTTGATTTATCAGAGCGTCTGGATTTTGAGGGACGTCCAGTTCTTGAGATACGTGTGCTCTTCGATGGCACATTTGACAGAGATGATGTTTCAGACTTTGAGGAGAGCTCAGATATGGCTGATCCGTTGGATTTTGTGGAGAGTTCAGATATGATGTAAATATTTGTGTGAGAGGAACGCAAGGCATTGCTCTCCACAACAGGAACGCTGAGAACTGGTGCACTGAGGACAAACATTTTAGGAAGTACATATTAAATGAATCATTCAGACCAAAAGTTTAAAGTCTGTGTAAAGCAATATGAAATATGTGTTCTGAGTTTGTCAGACCACAGCAAAATGTTATTAACCACCCAGCCAAATTTGATTGATAAAAAAAACACCAAGTAAATAAAATGAGTTATCAAAATCCTGAAAAAATTAGCTGTATTCTCTTCTCTCAAACGCTGGGGGCGTGTCTGCTGTTGGCACTGAAACCACACCCACTCACCCCAAAAAATCCTGAACACAAAAATTGTGAAAAACTATTTAATGATCTAACTCCACAATTCAGTACTACATAGTTCACAGTCTTTGTAACGTGTTTTCAGCAATACATTTCTAACATTTGTGACCCTGGACCACAAAACCAGTCTTAAAGAGTTAGTTCACCCAAAAATGAAAATTAGACAGCGTTTTACTCACCCCCGAGGCATCCTAGATGTATATGACTTTCTTCTTTCAGACGAATCCAGTCAGAGTTATATTAAAAATTGTCTTTGATCTTTCAAGCTATATCATTGCACTCAGGGTGTTGCGTTGCTTCAGTCCAAAAGAAGTTAAATAAAAAGCGCCCATCCATAAAAAAGGGGGGGGGGGGGGGGG